ACGCTGATGAAAATTAAGGCTTACCTAATTTGACGCACTCCATTACTTTATTTCAATTCGTATGAACCTGTCGTTAAATTTTGTAGCGATAGAAAAAACCCCCTGCTATGTTTTGAGATTGCTGTTGATGTTATTTAATGTGATTTGCTTAGATCTTTAGTATTATGTAGGCATTTCGCCGCTGTAATTTGTGAGCGTCGAAAAGGATAGCCTAATTTGTAGTTTTTTAGCCTCATTGTAGCTGGTGGAGAAGATCATATTGTTCGTGTTGTGGGTGCCCGTTACTATCGCAACCTTTTCATTCATCCTTTGGCTGCCCATCAAGGGCCTATAGTAACATGCCAGTTTATCAACGGTAATTATGATGTAGGTTGCCTTGCCTATTTGTAATTTCACTGCTCTCACTATTTCAGCTGAAATTGTATTTTAGTTGATATCTGTTTGTAAACGTGGTATCGCTAATGTTTGGACGGCATCGATTCAACCAGGCGATCTTGTTGAAGGTAAGTGAACCTACCCACTGCTGTTGATGATATTTATTGTCTGTGGGTGCAAATTCGCAGTGAGGGTTTAAAATTTGAAAAACACGCAATCAGTTCCACAAGCAAAAGCAAAAGCCACTGCAGAATCTGAACTCTAATTCCTTTTTATACTCATTTTGACCCAATATTAACTGCTTTATTTCTTGCGGTTGAAGAATTTGGTTGTTTAGGAGTAATTGCTCATGAAAAAATTAGCGCTGACTATAATAATCAATGAATTCACAGGGAAGTGGACAAAACCGGAGGAAAATGAAATGGAAAGCGAAGACGAATCAGTGACAAGACTTTATTATGAAAAAACGAAGAGGTCAGTTTAGCAAACCTTGATCCCCTTTCCTCTGTCGCTGGTGTGAAAAACCAACGATAAATCTCCGATTTTGATTCATTGCGTTGTTTTGCGATGCATGCATATTACACTCGGGAAAGTGTCGGGCCGTGGTGTAAATCAACAATCCTGACGGGGTTGACGGTGCTTCTTACTTGAGAGCCCCTAAAATTTTGAAGATGTTAACGTACCTGTGTTCATATGTTGAATATAAAGACATGGAATGCAGATAAGGGGAAAGGGTGGGGGGGATGGGTTACGGTGTTTTTCTTAATTTAGTCCGTAAAAGCTTTTGTTTTATCACAATGAGCGTGCTAGTTCCTTTATTTATAAACTTTCATATATCTTTGGAAAAACCCTCCTCGACCAACTGCTAACCGACTCAGTGAGAAAATGCTGTTCTAGGTACTCTCTTTTGGAATCATCAGGCAGCGGTAAATCCGGAATCGATGTTACTTCTTGTCGTATACATACGACGACGAATATTTTAGTAACAGCTTACTCTAATGGTGTGTTTGTTCTTCACGAAGTACCATCATTTGCTCTCATACATAATTTACGGTTAGTTTAGCTCTTCTTTCTTTGCTCTACGAATATATTCTTGATAAAAAAGCGAACTGTGCAATTCAATAATGTTCAGGGTATCGGATATGCAGATTACCAGCGTTGCAGTCAATAATACAGGTGATTGGTTGGCATTAGGTTGCGGTAAAGGATCAGCTGCGCAATTGGTGGTCAGTTTGGCATAAGGTTTTTTGCTTTCTGCGTGGTTCCAGATTTCACTTTTAGGTGTGGGAATGGCAATCTGAGACTTATGTTCTGAAACAACAAGCACATTCACAACGAATTCTAGCGGTGCAATACTCGCCAGATGGTTCTTTGCTAGGTACTGGAGCAGAGGATGGAAAGGTGGGGAACTTTACGGCAGTATGAGCTCTACATGTTTTCTACAAGCTGATTTCTACCCAATAAGTGATTTCCTAACAGCTGTGAACTTTTTTAATACTGGGTGTTTATCTCACCTGCCTACAGCTTTACCCAAGTGGTAGTAATATTTCCTTTCTGAAGAGATGCTCTATATAAAAGTGGTGACGTGATTAGAAATCTCTACAGGTAAAAATTTGGAATGGCCATACCGCCTTCTGTACGGTGACTTTCGATGAACACACTTCGGCTGTAACAGGCATTTGCTGGACGCAGAGCGGCAAAGCAATTCTCAGCGCATCTCTGGATGGAACAGTACGGGCTCACGATCTAAAAAGGTAAGCTTATCACCCTCAAGTGCTTCTTTTAGTGTTTTTTTTTCACTGAATATGCCATTCTGCGATAAGGAGAATTGAAAAGGTGTTTGTATTAACAATTTGTTTAAGGTATCGAAATTTCCGTACCCTTGTGTGTCCTGAGCCAACACAACTTGGTAGTTTAGCCGTAGATCAGTCCGGCGATATAGTTGTAGCTGGTGCGAAGGAAGTGTTTAGTGTACGTTCTAAATTAGAGTCAAGTCTAATCTTCTAATTCTGAAGGTAATGCAAATCGGGCTACTATTCAGATTTTTGTGTGGAGTATGGAAAATGGGTCATTGCTAGATGTGTTGAGTGGACATCAATCAAATATTGCTAGCATAAGTATGCATGGAAATGCCTTAGCTAGCGTTTCATGGGATCGAACGCTGAAGTGGGTGATTATACATCGTCTCATTGAGCTGTTCTACTAGCATAGTAGCTCTCATAAGTATGGATATTAACTGATAAGCAATTTTGATTCAAGATTGTGGAACATCGTGGATTCGACGTGTGAGACGACTGAGCTTGCACAGGAAGGTCTCGCAGTGGCTTTTTCGCCATGTGGACTATTGGTAGCCGTGCTTACGGTGGACTCTAACGTCACAATTTATCATGCGAAAGATGTGAGTTATTTTAAGATTGATCTACAACTCAAAAAGAAATAGCTCAAAACCCCATTTTTTTCTCATTGGTTAATTCGACAATAATTCTTAACAATCTTTTCTGAAAAGGATTTGAGAGAGGGAATTGATGAAATATCTCAAGTTAAGATGGCCTTCATCGGATCGATTGATGCCAGGTTGGACCTGGATCCTTCAAGAGGACAAGCTGATTTGATTACTAGGCAGAATGCAGCTAAGAGCAAGTGTGTTTGTTATTATAACGATTCCAAAAATTGATAGTTTTCTGCTGCTGACTTATTTGTCGATTTAGATCATTCACCTGCTATGCAGTTCTCTCCTGACAGCGCGCTGCTCTTGCTGGGTGGAGAATCGAACAACTTCTGCATGTATTCGGTGGTGGATCGCATGCTTGTGAAAAAATTCACGATCACAGAAAATCGCAGCCTTGACGGTGTCGTGGTAAGTTTCTCGTTCTTTATTGTAGATCTTACGCTTGAGTCATGTTGCTATAGCTACGTAGACCATCTACCATTTGCTTGCCGTGGCCGCGCCGTAGTAACTGCGGTATCAAAAGATTGACTCTGCCCTATTACACCTTTTGGTTGCGTGCACTGGTTAAAACGGAACACGGGGCATCAAAATAGCATCAAGGACGCGCCGGTATATTCATGTAGGATATCGGTTCCCACGATCTCGTTAACGATGCCGCGATAGGATAAGTCCGCAATTACGACAGTTCCGGCCTAGAGAACAATGACCGTAGTTGGTGCCGTGCGACGATTGTTCAGATAATTAGTAACTTGGGCGCTGCTAGAGTAAATGAGAAAATTGGGTATTTCTAAGTCAAATGAACTCGCACTGTGACGTGGAGCATTCCATTTCTAATAGACTCTGATAGGAAAAGGAGCACTTTGTGTCGTTGTACTAGCGTTTCTATGTAGATGTGTAATCTTTTTAGTTGGATGTGAATCGGCGTAACTTCACCGAATTTGGTAACATGGCGCTTTTTGACTCGTCAGATTCCGAGACGGAGCCAGATGGAAAACGAGCAATTCGACTTCCTGGCTCGAAGCATTTCGATCTAGGGGAGCGATCAGCTCGACCTCAAGTAGCTGTTTATGCAGTGACGTATTGCCCAACTGGTAAGTGTGAAATTTTAGGGGCTTACCGCTTACCAAACCATTTTTCTTCATTGCCTTTGTAGGTCGGCGGTTCGCGGTGTGCAGTACAGAAGGCGTTGGAGTGTATTCATTGGATACAGTAGGCTTGTTCGATCCATTCCAATTAGACAGTCAGACAACGCCTGCAATGATTAAAAAGTAAGTCGAGCGCTATTTCACTTATAAATGGACCCACGTTTGGAATATTATTTCAGCGCCCTTTCATTGGATGATTATTCCACTGCTTTAATGGCAAGTTTACGACTGAACGATACGCCTTTGATACAAAGAAGTATGGAAAGCACACCTTTGGAGCAAAGTAAGTTTTTATTGCTTTTGTTATTGTTTAGCCTATTTCAGTGCTGCATTTCAGTTGAGTTAGTTGTACGCTCATTGCCTTTATCCTACGTTGAAAAATTGCTCAAGTGGATTGCCGATGGCCGAGTGGTGGCGAGTTCAACGCATGTGCACTTTTATATGGTGAGTTTTCTTTCAGCTCTTGCTGCTAATGCGTATTTTTTTTCTTTAATTTTTTCGACATTTGGTTGAGTTTCTGTATTTCTATTCCTGTCCCTAATTCCCTTGTTGGCGCACTCATTTGAGTGTATAAATAAATAAATAACTAAATATATTGCTCCTTTAATATGCAACAACATGATTAATGATTGATGATGCAGGATAAGGGGATGAAGAGAGCAATTGTAAACGTCACGAAAATGCGCTTTTGCATACAGCACGCTTAGATTTTTATCGGCCGCGCCTCGATCACCCCTCAGTAAGAAGATGGTTGGGTTCAGAACAAATATTCAGCTCAGCAATTTTTGGATTGGGACGGGGTAAAGTAGTAGAAAACTGCCTTCTTACCACCGAAAGCAAAAGTCATACTTATCATAACTTGAACTGTTCATTTTCTTTGAGCTAGTTGGGAAAATTAGTTGGCTTGGGGAAATATCGAATTTCTGAAATCTTCAGGCGGAGAACTTCATATGCTCACCACTGTTATCATAAATCTACTATTTCGAATGATCCAGAAAATTTCAATTTCAAGAAAGTTTATCTCTTTCTTTTTTCAGATTTGGCTGCGACACATACTCAATATCCACGGTATGCGCCTGAAAGGACGAACAGATGTCGCGATATTGACTGGGATTCAGCAGATTGTTGCCCATCATACGCAATTAATTTCAAAATTGTAAGCAGTCCTCGTCCATTTCAATCTATTTTTTGCGACTTCTTCGTATCATTCTTTGTTTTGCACTCGCATTTTGTTTGAAGTGCAGCTACTACTTCATGTGGTGTTTTCAGAGCTGATCAGAACAAATTTGGTCTCCGATATATCTTGGCAGCACGGAAGTTGCGACGCAAAAATGAGGCGCAGAGTATGGAGTGTTAACCCCCAGATTGTTATTGTTGAAATTTATTGTTAATAAGTGTGTGAGAGGTGTTTTTTACACCTGTCTGTAGTAAGTTTAGTCATTCAATTGTTATGCTTGTTATATTTTGTTAGTTATACTGTTGATTTTGCTGAATTTGTTGATGTTGCTCAGGGTTAAATGAATAATCGAATACTGATATGCGATGTAGCAGAATTGTTGGAGTCATGGCACTCTTCATACTGAAATTGAATGATAAAGAAGTGTCATTAGGGAAGCAAATTTAATCAATACTTAAAGTGAAGAATTGTTCACTTTCTGCATAGGAACGTCATGCCGAAGGTGATATCGTTGGCAAGCGGGGCGAAGTGGAGAGATGGCGCAATGACTGGCGATTTGAAAGATGCAGAATTCGGCTTACCTGGGATTGTTTCAAGAGATTTTGCCTGAGGATATCCAGTCTCCGACAAAGGGAAAGAAGAAAAAGAAAATAAAGGCACAGCATGAGGTGAAATATAATTCGAATTTAAGTGTACTGTATGTCGCTGTAAAGAAGTCGTACCAAAGTTCCGATCCACAATAGGCATTGGTGTGTGAGTGCTGAACTGCCGTCCACACATTTAGTATGGGTCGATGGGATGAATGGAGACCAAGAATGAGCACATAACTCCTTTTTCCAGCAAAAAGACGACGACCATTCAGAAGACAAGGCGATAGTTGAAGAAACGGAGCAAAACGTTAAAAATGAAGAAAAAGAGAAGAAAGAGAAGAAGGTGAAGAAAAGTCAAGACGAAAAAGCCACGGTCGAGGCTGACAGTACGGAGGGAACCAGCGCACAAACTGCTCCGGAATGAGAAGTAAAAACCAGTAATACCAATGAAGAGCCGAAAAAGGTTAGATGCATTCTAGGTTTCTCTAGTACTTTGGTCACCTTTCCAACAGTTGTCACAGATGTAATTTAGAAAAAGAAAAAGAAGCGAAAACGGGAAACTGAAAAAGCCGAAGGACCTACATCGCCGAAGAAAGTGAAGTTTGCTCTCGAAGGTCCTGCACAGGCTTCGCAAGCACCAACCAAAGCGGAAGATCCCTTGTTATTCAGCCAGCAAGAGGAAGAATATGTACAGAGAATAGTCATCGACGACGAAGAAGAAAGTACTGACGAACTCGGTGGGTTAGCTCGTCGGATAACCACGTATTTGAATTGCGGGGACAATTATAATTTTGATTGATTTTCAGATGATTCAAAAGAAACATTGAAGTCGCCATGGGACGAGCTGTACCTACCTCAACCCATCATGTGGGCTATTCGAGAATTGGGGTAAGTTTGTTTCGTCAAAGATGAACTCATCATTATTCAATTCATAAACGATCTAAAAATCAAAACATTAGCACAGCAAATTATAAGTCGCTTAGGGTTCAGTGAAGTGTTAATCATATCAGAAGAATGCGAGGTGACACAATCGCATAACTTTATGCTCAGAGTAACTCAGAAGAAACGAATCGCAATTAATGACTCGAATGACGACTGCCCACTTGAACGTCTTTCTCTGGCAGGAATTCAAGAAGATTCCATGTAAATGCTTAGATAGATATTCGGTCCAACGTTTTTTCCTTGTTGTCGCAACTACGATGATGTCGTGCGCTCATCCAAATAAGAATGCGTTCCGAAGTAGACAAGAAGTGTTATAACTCCTCAAATGCTATTCGGCAAGTTTTTTTTGTAATCTAATGATTGTGATTAGTACACTTCCAGGTTCAAGACTCCTACCGAGATACAAAAACAAGTGCTTCCTCTAGCCGTTCGAGATCACTGTGATGTACTGGGAGCAGCAGAGACGGTAGGCGGATCAAAAGGGCTTGGAAAGTACCAATATGTGTGTTGATAAGGTTTTTTCTCTCCAAATTTAGGGCAGTGGTAAGACTTTAGCCTATGCGATACCGATGGCTACTCGACTCTTAGAGCTGCCGCTGGAGGCTCATTCAAAGAAAACTGGCCCAAAGGCTCTTATACTAGCTCCCACAAGAGAACTGGTTGTGCAGGTATGAAGCATGTGACGGCTCTACTAAAGTACACAAGCTTCAAAGTGAGTTTTTCGATTGCTAGGCTTACTTCCTGCAAATGTGGTTATTTTCCAAATGTTGTGGAATTTGTAATTGATGAAAAAATCATTATTGAAGGCATTCTCAATCGTTGGTGGCCTAGCTCAAGTACGGCAAGCTCGTATTCTTAGAGAGCAGAAACCACCGAAAGGTAATTGTAGGCAACTCCTTGGACGCCTCTGGGCCATGATGAAGGAAATGGTAAGATTTTCAGTTTTTAATGGTGAAGTCAGTCAGAGAATGGAAATTTTCAGGAAGAGGGTGTACCTGTCTGCCAGTATCTTTCGGATTGGAGCGGATTGGTGTGCTTGATTGTGGACGAGACGGATCGCATGGTGGAAAAAGGACATTTCGAAGAAATGCAGGACATCCTAAAATTTGTTAAGCAGTAAGTGGAGAAAATTGATCCATTAAACACTAACAACATTCCTTTCCAAAACGATCACGTCAGGAAGCGCTCAAGGCTCCACACTGAAAGGAATTCTTTCACGGAAAAAATCGTGATTCTTCTTCACCACCCATTTTCCCTGGTTGGGACCCATCTTTCACGATAAGAACGAAAAGAACAAAAAATTGCATTGTTTTGGTAAAAAATTCGAAAAACCGAAAGGGCTGCTACGCGTTCAAAGTACCGCCGGACATCTGTCACAAATGCTGGCGACGGGAATGCTTCCACTTGGTTCTTGGAGTGCCGTCACTAGAAACTCTTTCTGGCCTTTTGACTTATTGCATTCACATCTCACACTTCTACTCCATCCTATTCTATCGATCGATTTGTCTCTACTCTCCAAAATCGCACGCTTTAACCCGATTCTTTCATTGCGTCGCCTGATACGTAGCCCCCAAGGCGGACTTCTTTCCATGCCCCGCCTTTGGCTCCGCGCCATTACCTTCGATTGTCCATAGAGTGTGGTTTTTGTAAGTTTGTTTCTCTTCGGAAACTGAATCTTTGTGCGTGAAACTTTGTATGTTTCTCTAGTGATCACAACTGATATATGCGTGTTGGGAAAAAATGCAAGATTTTTCCGGGAAGGATTCCTTGAACCTTGTCGAAAGATTTCGAATTTGCTCACATCTTTACACACAACTGATTGTTGCCTAGGCCAATAAGCCTTATCGCGATCTAACTACCCTGCCGAGACTGCAGGCGCCTTAATTGGGCCGCTCTGGCATCACAGCCTTAGAAGGACTTCGCTGTAGCTATCGTTAACATGGCACTGGGCCCAAAATGACGTATCGTTCTTCAGGTCGGCAACAGATAAGCTGCAAACACTGGTATTCTCAGCCACATTGACGTATGTTCATCATGATCAATCCAGAGTTGGTCCTTACGAAGAAGGAGCTGACGCCACAGCAAAAAATAAGTTGGTACAAGTTTAGAACTGATATGGTCTTGATTTTTTTTGATTATGCCTGTTGCATCACTCTAGTGCAGCTACGTTTACACTGCTTCTCGCTAATGCAGTTAAAAAGTTGTGTAGACTGGCGCTGCTTTAAATGTACCACTTGTATCGCTTCCCGACAAGATTTTGACCATGCAGCAGGTCTTGGAAGCGCGTTCACACCCGTCTTAGCCTTAAGAGCCGTCAGTGAAGACAAAGCTATCAAATCTAGTGGAAGAGAAGCTTAGAATTGACATTGTTGTTTTGAATGTATAGAAAGGCTATAATTGTCGAGGAAAAATCGAATCCTAGATAATGTGGGTAGTGATTGTGTAGGAAGCGAGCGTCAAACTAATATTCAGTTGGTGAAACAGACGAGGGAACTGGAAGGGCTCATTGTAAACTATTTTTAGAAGAGTTGATTCAACTCACTGGAATGCGCCCAAATTGTAAAGTTGTTGATATTACCCGAGAATTCGGTACGGCGGAAGCGCTCGTCGGAAACAAGGATCAATTGCTCAAACCTCCTCGAAAAAGTACGTTTCTTTGACGTCAAATAAATGTATTAATAATAACTTGCACTTTCAAGGACACGACGATAGTCTATCTCTTGGAGCATATAAGTACAGGTGTGATTTCACGAATTCTGTAGACGCTTCACGACGAATGTATGGAATTCTGAGACTGCTGAAGCTACAACCGTTGATGATTCATGCGAAAATGGAGCAGAAAGTCCGACTTAGGAATTTGGAAAAGTTCGCTGGTAACTATTGCTATTTCTTACGCCGGATTTTTTTCGTCTGGATTCAATATCTAGCAGACTTGGTTGCTCCAAGACAGTCCAAGCAGTGTCAAGGTTAGGAGTGCGCAGACATTCCCCACCGCAGTACTTGGGTCACCCCATAAGGATGTGAATTCGCCCCGTTTTCGTCTACTTCTCCTTTAAATGACTGTCATGTGGTTTTTCTGAACCAACCCTGAATTTTCAGGGGATTCGAGAAGCGTATTATTAGCTACGGATGTGGCGGCTCGAGGGCTCGACATTCAGGGAATCGACAATGTTATTCACTATCAAGTACCAAAAACTGCAGAAGTATGTTAACTTGTTAATAATCATATGCTTTCGAATCTATAAAGATAGCAAATATGATCACTAGAGCATGGGTGATAAGTTGTCAAACTCTTCACCAACCCCTCAACACTTTTTTGATCCTTTTCAAAGAAAGCATGTACGGAAATAATATTTGAGCATGTTTAGCAATTTCTTCACATTGTTCAGATGTATATTCATCGATCGGGTCGAACTGCACGTGCGTCACGAAAGGGTTTGTCAGTTCTAATCGTAGATTCAAAAGATGCCCACTTATACCGAAGATTGTGCAAAAATCTTAATCGAGGTGAGTCACGATGGGTGAAAATTCACGCTTGTGAGGTACCGAAGTAATGCATTCCAGAGAAAGACTTACCAGTGTTCCCAGTCGACTGCCCCGAACTGATGAAACGGCTGACAACACGTGTAAAGCTGGCTTCGGCTCTGGACACATTTGCCCATCGAAGTAAAAAAGTGAGCGTTTTCAGAGCATCGCAATCACCTTAAATCCTTATTTTTCATTACACTGTTCCCTGATCTACGGATCTATTTTCCAACTTTCTATCATTGATGTTCACCCTTTGAGAATCTATGTAAATTTGCAAGAACATTTACTTATTTCACAGATTCGCCTTTCCGAAAATTGGTTCGACAAGATTATTCGAGAAGCGGACTTAGCGATGGACGATCTAAGGTGGGAATTGAATCATCAATAAATTATGTTGAATATTGTGTGGGTGTTGAGTTATGGACGAAATGCTCGGTCTGAAACATGACTCAAAGGAGAGGAAAGGTGAGAGTTGTGTCAATAGATGAAGAGCTTCTGATTATGTTCACTTCGCCGAATGCGTAGAATTGGTTTACTACGCAAAATTCGCACAGTGGGGTTCATCGGTCCATCTATACAGGGGGCCAAAAAAAGAGTCACTTCCATTTACATTCAAAGCAGAATTAGTTACACTTTTCCAGAACCAAACCGGATGGGCTCA